GGATGTTTTTAGTGAGCCATGGAGGCTTATATGCTCTCCTGCCCCCTTTGACCCTCCTGGGGATTACCTTCCTCTGGGCTTGGAGGATTGTCTCCTTAAGGAGCGACCACTCCCCTTGGACACCCAGCTCCCCTCCCCTCTGAGTCTTCAGCGCTTCTCCAACTATCCTCCTTAGCTCGTTGAAGTTCGCCCTCCTAAAATCTAGGGCCACCACCTGACTGCTTGCCTTTGCTACCTTGCGCTGAATGGTGAATTCTAGCAGGCAGTGGTCACTGTCGCCCGGGGGGTCAAGCACCCGCAGCCCCCTCACCAGGTCATCGCCTGTGGCCAACACCAAGTCCAACAAGGCATCCCCCCTGGTGGGGCTGTGCACCTCCTGGGTTAGATGAAGGTCCTGGACTCTCTCCAAGAACCTGCGTGAGCGCTCGGATTTAGGGTTCATCCCATCCAACCCTGCTTACTAGAAAGCATCTAGCTTCTCCAAGTAACCCCCAACCTGTTCTGCCATTCTAGGCTGTTGACTTTTTCCATATATTTGCTACCTACTGTGCTTGTCATCTGGTAACTTCCTCTATCTGTGAAGGCTGAAGTAAAAAAACACATAAACTTCTTCAGTCTTCTCTGCACAATCCATAACTAGGTTGTCTTCTATAGTCTGTAAGCGAACTATGGTTTCTTTGGCCTTCTTCTTGCTCTTGACATACTGATAGAATCCCTTTATATTACTTTTTATACCCCTTATCAGTTCCAATTCAAATCATGCTTTGTCCTTCCTAATTTTCTCCCTGCTTACCCATGTGATACTCTCATATTCTTTTCTAGTGCTATGACCAAGTTTCTGTTTTTTGTAGGATTCTTTTTTTGAGTTTCACCTCATTGAAGAGATTTCTGTATAGCCAGGTTGGTTTCTTGTTTGCAATTCCCATTCTTCTGTTGCAAAGGAGAGCCTGCTCCTGCACCCTTATGAGGACCTCCTTAAAGTACAGCCAGCTCTCCTGGACTCCTTTTCCCCTGAGACTTGCCTTCCAGGGGGTCCTGCCTACCAGTTCCCTGAGTTTGTTAAAATCAATTTTTCTGAAATTCAGTGCCCTTATTCTGCAGCTCTCCTGCCTTCCTCCTTAGTATCTTGACCTTTATCATTTTGTGATCACTGTCACCTGGGTTACCTTCCACCTTCACATTCTCAACCAATCCCTTCTTGTTTGTGAACAGTTAGTCGAGAAGAGCATCCCTCACCCTTTCTCGCCCCCCAGTTGGCTTCTCTACCATCTGTGTCAGAAAAGTATATGCAACACATTCCAGGAATGTGCTAGATTGCTTATGCACTGCTGTGTTTCTCTCCCGGCAGATATCCTCATAATTAAAGCACCCCATGAGAACCTGCTCTTGAAATCTGAAAGATTCCATCAGTTGTTTAAAGGCCTCATCCACCTACTCCTCCTATGGCAAATGCCTACCATGATATAGATTCATAGATTCATTCATAGATTCATAGATTCATAGATTCATAGATTAAGGGTCGGAAGGGACCTAGCAGATCTTCTAGCCCGACCCCCCGCCAGGGCGGGAGAACAACAAAAAAACCCCAAAAAGAGAAACGGGACTCAAATGAGTCCAGCCAGGTAGGCATCCAGCCCCCTCCTAAAGACCCCCAGGGTAGGGGCCAGCACCACTTCCCTTGGAAGTTGGTTCCAGCTCCTAGCCGCCCTAACTGTGAAGTAGTTCTTGCAGATGTCCAATCTATACCTCCTCTCCATCAACTTGTGCCCATTGCTTCTTGTTATGCCAGCGGGCGCTAGGGGAAACAGCGTCTCCCCCAAACCCTTCTGGTCCCCCCTAGTGAGTCTATAGACTGTCACCAGGTCCCCCCTCAGCCTTCTCTTATGGAGGCTGAATAGGTTCAGGTCCTTCATATCCCCCATACTGCTCTCCCCTTGGACCTTTCTCAGAGGCATTCAGCAAACCTACCTCCTACTTCATATTGCACCTCAAAACACATATACATAGCTTTTTTATGCAGGGCAACAGCTCTTCCTTTTTCCCCTGCCTATCCTCCCTGGACAAGCTATACCCATCATAACTATACTCCAGTAATGTGAACTAGTCCACCATCTCCGTAATCCCAATTACTTCAGAGTTTCTGTTGCAGAATATGCACCTGTACACTACACTCCTCTGTGATCAGGAGTTGAACAGCAATTTTGCCTGTTCCTTTACCAGAGTGAGGGGAAATCCATTCTAGAGAAGGCATACGGGCATTTCCCCACACTCAACTCCTCCCAACTCCTGCCCCCTAGATCTTTCTCATAATTAGGGGGACACTGGTTTGGACAAGACCTGAACAGTAGTGACATCTGAACTCCTTGGTCCTGCCTGGAGTAATAGGGAGGATGGGACTGGAATGCCTGCATACTTCCTCTCTTGGAAAGATTTCTACTGTTGCAAATTTCCAATAAATTTGCAAAAATAGAAATTAGCACCTGTCCATGGCTTAAGTCCCTTTTGAAGTCTATAGAAAAACTCCTGTCACCCTTAGTAGGTGCATCCCCACTAGCAGGAATGTGCAGATTGCCTCATGTGGGGTAAGGGAGGCTAGGGCCATCACCTGGGCTGGCCCCAGTAGTCTTACCTGGTGTCTTGGGGGCCTCCTGGAGTTGCAGAAATGGCAACCCAAGCAGGTGGATCCTGGCCAGCAGCCAGGCTCCAGTTTCGGGTGGTGCTCATTGCAGTCAAGTA